TTGACCGCAGTTCGTGTCCCGGACCCGGTGGCTTAAACTCACACCGGGCGCGTGTGTGTGTGTGCCCAAGATCCTGAGAGGAGAATGAGGGAGAAGGGATTGCGGCATGACCCCCCCCCCCCGGGGGGTGATTTCTCGCTTTCTGTCTCTCTGTCTCTCTCTGTCTGGCTGGCAAGTGCATGCGCCCTATAGCAAAAAAAGAAAAAACAAAACAAACAAACAAAAACAAACAAAAAAAACTCTCCAAAAAAAGAAATGGTTAAAACAACCATTTTACATTTGGGAAGACAGAAGTCCTGCTGTTTCCACAATATAGACTACTGAAAGCAAAGATCAGCAAGACCCACCCCCCCCCCCACCCCCCCAGGCAGAGTGGACACGAGCGTTTCTGTTCCCCTCTGTGTCCTCATCCCCAGCACCCTGTGATGTTCTGGGACCACCCTGGCTTCCTTACGGCCTGCGGCCTGCTGCTCCTTGACAGCTCTTCCATGCTCTCTCGTCTGCTCTCCTGCAGGCCCACTTGCCTCAAACATTCTAGAGGTTTCTTCTTCACCTTGTCTGCCTCTATGGGAGCTGACTGTCTATCTTTTTATTTTGTGAGTGTGTGTGTGTGTGTGTGTGTGTGTGTGTGGCGGGGGTTAAATTGAAATTTGTAGTTTAACAAAGTTGCTGTACATGGTGGGATATGCTATGGCTTTTAAAGCAGGTCTTAAGTATGTAAAATTGCATAAAGGATCTAAACATATTCCTCTTCTTAAGTATTTAACATTACTTTGTTGTGCATATTTAACATTTTTCTTGTATTCTTGTTCCCACCCCTCCCAAAAGGGGAGTTTATATTTAGTTGGCAATGCCTTTTTTTTTTTTTTTTTTTTTTTGAGAGAGAGAAATGTTTGCTATAGGGCATGTGCACTCGCTGGAGAGGCAGACAGAAAGTGAAAAACCACCCCACAGGGAGATGAACACACTGTAATCACTTCTCCTCCATTCTCCTCTCAGGATTTTGGGCACGCGCATACACATGTGCCTGGCGTGAGTTTTAAACTGCCAGGTTCAGGGCTTGAACTGCGGTCAACTAGGTGGGAGTCCAGCGATGCCTTCTCGTGTCTCTCAGTCATTTCGGCCTGAGCTCATCCCCACCGTCCTAGGTAGATTCTAGTATCGACCATTACCCTCCCTCCTTGAGCTTCCACTAAAGAGCGAGGGGCCTCGGCAAATGTCTAGCGGGATGTAAGATATCTTTTTTTTTTTATCTTTCATGGTCTGACCCATGTCCCCCAGTGTCTATCTCCCAGGTCTGTCCATTTCATTTCAGAGGACGGGCTATCCCTGTTCTTCATGGCTGACGAGTATTCCACATGGTCCCAGAGTTGTTAAGCTCCTGTTTCTCTGGAGGCTTTATCTCTAGCCCCTGCCCAGGCCAAGGGCTTAGAACAGATTTCAAATTTATGAGCCACTGCCTACCAGAAGCAGGCAGGCAAGGAGTGATATGGTCAGGGTGACCCACGGAGAATAAATGCTCCATTTTCCTCTTTCCCAAAAGAAAAAATAAAAAGTAGCAGAAAAAAGGAAACTAATTACACTGATACTGCACCATAGGATTGGGGCAATAGGGCATGGTGGGGACTATGGCCAACCAGAGCACCCTGGAAGCAGGTGGCTACTGCTCAGCTTCACCCCATGGTGCCACGTGACCATGCAAGTCTAGTGTTGCCAAATCTTCCTACTTCCCCAGGGACACCAGAAATCTGATTTCTAAATATTGGCAAGGAACGTGCAATTCTCCCAGCCCCACCACGACCACCACTGCCTTTCTTTCCAAAGCAAAACACATAAGTGATTGGACTGGAGCACGAGCTACCCATTCTAACCTCTGGACTGGTCCTCAGGGCACAGATGGTGCGTGCTCTCACCAAGTGCCCACGCGCTCTCCTCTACCCTCCGCTCCCAGCCTCCCCCGCAGTCAGGTGAGACCTGACAGTAGAAGAACCGCATGGAACTTCCGGGCCAGGCCTGGGTCAGCTTCCTCCCACTTCTCTTCCCTGAAGAGACAGCACCCAGGGAGGCCACGGGGTGCAGGTGGCATGGCAAGGCTACAAGGTGGAAGTGGCTGCTCTGCCACCACAGAGTCCAGGTGAGCGAGAAAGACAAGGGACTTCAAAAAGTTTGTGGATGATGGGACCAGCAGTTAGCGTCATGGCTATGTCACTGAACTCCCATGTTTGAGTTCTGGACCCGGTGGCTTAAACTCACGCCAGGCATGTGTGCGTGCGTGCCCAAGATCCTGAGAGGAGAATGAAGGAGAAGGGATTGTGGCCATCCCCCCTGGGGGGTGATTTCTCGCTTTCTTGTCTCTCTGTCTCTCTCTGTCTTTCTGGCAAGCGCATGTGCCCTATAGCAAAAACCTCTCCAAAAAATAAATAAATAAAGTTTGTGGATGAATAGAATTACAGTATGAGTTTATTTTGGTGCAAAAAAAAATTAATTTGAAATCCATACACTTTTTCCCCCCAAACTATGCATTTTCCACACACTTTTGAAGACCTCCTGCCTCTATCCCCAAGTCCTAGGGATGTGTCATTGAAGACAGCCAGTACTGCCCACCTGAACACATGCTTGGAGCCCTGTCTTAATTACAAAAGAATTGTCACAGCAGTTTAGCATCTCCCGGTGCGCAAAGAAAGCCCCGGGTGACCCACCACTCCTAAGACAGACGAGGCGAGGCTTTGTTATTTTGGGGGTGAGTAAGCTGAGGCTCAGAAGGTGACACGGAATAGCCCTGAGGTGTGTGGCGAGTGAGCAGAGGAGCCAATGCTGGGCTCCTGAGTGGACTCCCAGTTTAGTGCTCTTCCCACCTCCCCGCTGCAGAGGGACCTCCATGGGAGGAAGGTTGGCGCTCCCTGCTCCCTGTGATCCTGCCTGAGGACGGTGCGTGCATGCCCACCCACAGCCGCTTGAACTGGAAGCTCGACCTCTTACCTTTCCTGTGGACTTGGTCCCCTTCCAGATACAGAAGTAGCAGATGGTCCAGGCTGCCAGGAGACACAAGGCCAGCTCCCAGCGGAGGTTCCCGATGTGCTCGATCCCATCGGAAATGGCCAGGACCCGGTGTCTGCAGAGGGAGGTGGAGAGTCACTGGGGTGGAGGAGGCTCACCATGGCCCCACCTTGGGCACAGCTAGCAACTCGAGGACCAGGGACAGACCATGTATGCATTCAACCCCCCTCCCACCATTCACCAAACCCTGGGCTGGGCATGGGGCTGCTGAGAGGAGTAAGAACACTCCCTGCCTTTGTGGGTTCACCCTCTGGGAGTTAGATTGGTACAGGTACATGGCATACATGGGCCCTGATGGTGGAGGCACTTGGACCACCTTGGGGTGCCCGGGAGACCGTATTCCCACCTGGGAGACCATATTCCTGTCCACGAACATTCCACTGAAGGGAGACTGCATCCCTGCCCTGCTGATCAGGGATGCCACAAGACCTGCTTTGGCCATTGTTCGGCCAACAGTGAAATATGTGCTACTTCAGACAGAAGAAGCTTCCAGGGCCAGGTATGGTTCTCCACTTTCTCTTCTATCTGCTTTGTTGTCATGACAGATGCCAAGGGTCAAGATGGAGCTTCCAGGCCCGAGTCCCTAAGTGACTGCATGAACCCTCCAGCCACCTTGTGTCAGAGATGTAGAGTGTGCAAGAAACAACATTGGTGCTTTCAGCTACGGAGCTCTTTGGGAGTGTTTGTTACCGAGCATAACCGAATCTATCCTGACTGCTGCAGGGGTCAGGGAAAGCGTCCTGGAAGAAGTGATAAGGGATAAACGTGGAAAGATGAGTGGAATTCAGCCAGAAGAAGGGAGCCACGACTGTTCTAGGTCAAGGGAGCAGATTCTGGGGTCAGCAGGTGGCATAGGGGTTAAAGTGCTAGATTCCCACATGGCCAACCATGGTTTGAGTCTCAGATCTGACAGTTTGAAACAAATGTTGGCACGTATGCATGCATGCCCAACATTCCGAGAGGAGAATGGGGGAGAAGGGATTGTGGCGAAATTGAGAAATCTCTCCCGGGGTGTCATTTCGCGCTTTCTGTCTCTCTGTCTCTCTAGCAAGTACACATGCCCTGTAGCAAAAACCTCTAAGAAAAAAAAAAGAAGAAGAAGAAGAAAGGGCAAGATTCTGAAGACAGAGTCTAGCTTATTCGGGAGCAGCAAGCCAGAACACGGGGAA